ACACACACACACACACACACACACACACACACACACACACACACACACTACAAAATATAAGTGGTGGGAGGGGACAGGGCGGTGATGAATATCTAAGTGGCCCAGGGGTAGAGGGATTCAATCCCAGGATTTATTTTTTATTTTCTCATGGTGCTGGGTATCTGACCCAAGACACCCCACATGGTAGACCCAGCCTCATCTTTTCATTTAAACAGAAACTTCAGGCCTTTCTTCCCATCTTCTCCAGTTTTATAATCACCTTGGGCCTTAGGACATTTTTTCAGAGGTCTTTGAGCCTTGAACCCAACAACTAATTCTAGGTCTGATTCCCTATGACACAGAGATACTTAAGAGAAATATATTATACCAGGTTCATGGAGCCACTTCCAACATTATCAGGGGTCCCATTCATACGTGTAGTCCATAGCTTCTTGCACTCTATTCAGGACCGCCTGCCTAGGGAATGGCGCCACCCACAGTGGACTGGGTCTTCCCACAAGATTAATTACAATCCCCTATATACATACCCACAGACCAGCCAGTGTAGACAGTCCCTCACTGACTCTCCCAGGAGACTCTAGGTTGTGTCAAGCTGACAGTTAAAATTATCAAGGCTGTAACCCCATCCATACCTGCGACACACGTCAGCACTCGGTGACAACTCACCGCTCACTGGGCCATGGAAGAAGGCCTTGAGTTAACTCTTCCCTTAACTCATTCTGTTTCCTCTCCCACAATCAGCCTCCGAGAGCCAGAACGGGAATGGACTGAGCACCCAACCGGGTCCTGGTGGCGGCCCCCATCCCTCTCACACCCCGTCACATCCTCCCAGCACCCGAATCACTCGAAGCCAGCCCAACCACACACCTGCCGGCCCCCCTGGCCCCTCCGGCAACCCTGTCAGCAACGGCAAAGAAACTCGAAGGAGCAGCAAGAGATAGCGAGAAACGAGTCCTCGCCTTCGACGGCAGACCGCGACCCAGGCGTCCGCCAGAGGACGGCCTTCTCCTGGGCGGCTGGCTTCGAGACTCGAGGGTGGAGTAGCTGTATTTTAGCTATTAAGTCTCCCTGGCGGGGTGAGCAGTGGCCTTGTCCACCTCAAGCTCGTGCCCCCTTGTCCTGCTGACGCTGCCTGTGCTCTGGGGTCCAGGGCCCTCTGCCTGCCCTCCTTCCTCTGGAAAAGACAGAGTTGTGTGTGTGTGAGTGTGAGTGGGATACGAGGGTCTAACTGAAACCCCTCCTTCCTAATAAATGTGCCCACTGCGTTCTGGACTCCTCTGTTTTTCATAGGGAAAGCGGTTAGCAGGTGTGCACTTAGGGAGTGTAGTCCCCGTCAAGGAGGCCTCGGGCAGAGCAAGCCTGCCCCTTTAAGGTGGTGTCCCTCCCCTCCCCTGCTCCCTGCAGGTGACCCTTGTCCAGCCTTGCCTGCCGCAGAAGGCTGGGTGCCCCTTCCTCTGGGTGTCCTCTGTCTGCAGCCCTGCTGTCAGGTAATGCCGGCCCCAACCCCCTGGACCAATCACTCTGATCAGACTTTGATCCCCTGATCTTAAGCCAGGTCAGATGTCAGAGGGGAACCCTGTTCTGGCTGCTTTTCCTCCGCAGGGCTTCCCCTTTCTTGTTCTTTGATCACAGAGCGAGTGCTGACAGTTAATGCTTGCTGGAGGGGGGAATTGCCCTCTTAGGCTTCCCAGGGTGGGGAATTGCTAAGAACAGTTTCTCCCCGGAATGCATCTGGGATTGCTACTCATCTGCCTCTCCGCCTGCCCCCCCAGTTTAGGGACACCTTGGTTCAACTTCCCAGGGAATGTGGGGATGGGGCTGAGAACCAAGGAAGCTCGGTACCAGATGTAAGGTACGTGGGGAGGGGTATATTCAGAAGGCTCGGGCGGTACTGAGCGGGTTATAAAATATTTAAGAGGAAAAAACTGAGAACCCGAGTTCTTAACCATGTGGCTTCCTCAGGGCAGAGGGTGGCCCCTCCCCAGTCAGGGCCCAGTAAAGACTGACTTTTGACCCCCCCATCCCAGAGACCAGTGAACCATTAACTCCTATATGAACCTTCTCACACTTGCCCCACCCCTGACTCCGCCCCAAAGCAGCTGGGAAGGGGGAACCTATCCATTTCGGCCCTGTATGAAACGTGGCTTCCATTGCACCTGAAGGCTGAACTCCTGACTCAGGAATCTCCACAGTGAGGCCTTCCAGGGACCTGCAGTGACAGCTCTCACATTGCCAGCAGGGGTGAGGCCCTGCATATTGCAGAGGAATGGAGAGGAGGGGCAAAGTGAGAGGGGGGCCTGGGGGACCTGAGATGTCAGCCGACTCTGGACCAGATGTAGGGAGAACTCTGGGTCAGGAGGCTGCTGCAGAAGGCGGGGGGGGGGGGGGGGGGG